GGGAAAAAAAAAAAAAAAAAAAAAAAAAAAAGTGCGCTTATTTATACTGATATTTTGGCTGTGAATCATGTATTACCTGTGTCATCACTTGTATTATATCATTATCATAAATTATTTATTTTTTGCTTAAATAGAAGTATTTCTCTCCAACCATAAAGTAAAGTCTTGAGATTAGGAATTTTGTATTATTATTGTATTTCTTATTTTGTTTATTTATTTATTTTTTTTGTCCTTTTTTGTGACCGGCCGCACCACGCTCAGCCAGTGAGCGCATCGCACCGGCCATCCCTGTATAGGATCCGAACCCGCGGCAGGAGCGCTGCTGCGTTCCCAGCGCCGCACTCTCCCGAGTGCGCCACGGGCTCAGCCCCTTTTTGCCAATTTTTTATTGCAGTAAAATATGTGTATCATAAAATTTACCATCTTAATCATTTTAAATACATTCATAATGTGGTGCCACTATCACCATCTCCAGAACTCTTTTCATCTTGTAAAACTGAAACTCTATATCCATGAAACAGTAATTCCCCATCTCCCCTCCTCCCAGCCCCTAGCAACCACCACTCTACTTTCTGTCTCTATAATTTTGGCTACTCTAAGTACTTTATATAAGAGGAATCATACAGTATTTGTCTTTTGTCACTGGCTTATTTCACTTAGTATGATGTCCTTAAGGTTCATCCATATTTAGCATATGTCAGATTTTCTTTCCTTTTTAAGGCAGAATAATATCCCACCGTATGGATAGATATACCACATTTTCTTATCCATTCATCGATCAATAGACACTTGGGTGGCTTCCACATTTTAGCTATTATGACTAATGCTTCTGTGAACTGGGTGTACGAATAATATCCTTCAAGACTCTGTTTTCAATTCTTTGGGGTATATACCCAGAAGTTGAGTTGGTGGATCATATGGTAATTCTACTTTTAATTTTTAAGGCACTGTTTTCCACAGCAATTGTACCATTTTACATTGCCATCAATAGTGCTTGAGGGTTCCAGTTTCTCCACATTTTTGCCATTTGCCATTTTCTGTCTTTTTGATAGTAGCCATCCTAATGGGTGTGAGGTGGTATCTCATTGTGGTTTTGGTTTGCATTTCCCTGATAATTAGTGATGCTGAGCATCTTCTCCTGTGCTTAAAGGCCATTTGTATATCTTCTTTGAAGAAATGTCTATACACATCCTTTGTCCATTTTTGAATTGAGTTGTTTGCTGTTGTTGTTGAGTTTTACGAGTTCTCTGTATATTCTGGAGAATAATCAGAGATATGATTTGCAGATATTGTCTCCCATTCTGAGGGTTGCCTTTTTACTTTGTTTCATGTATTTTTTTCATATTTTATATGTATTTTTGATGTTGATTTTTTTCCAGAGCATTAAAGTAGTTGAAAAAACATTGAAAAAAATTTAATGTAGCTATACTAAAACTCACATTATTATTTATTTTTTTATTTTTATTTCTTAAAAGATGACCAGTAAGGGGATCTTAACCCTTGA